TTGTGAGGACTAATTGCTTTAAATATGATCATGGAGATTTAAGATTCATTCGTTGTGGATTATCTGTTAAACTGGTCGATAGTCTGCGCCTGAAGTGCTTTTGGAGCACACTGGGTACTAGTAGCAGACATGGTCCTCTTTTCACACAGCAGTGTTTTTCGCCTACGCGCTGTTACGGTAAGTTTGGTTCACACAATGGGCCGGAGTCAATGTGGAGTGTTATTATCCCAGCTTGTCTTTTCTCCTGCTAGCTCTTTGAAATGCTGGCCATATTCAAGTTAAGCAGCACTTTAGGATTATTTTTGCTATTATTGGAAATGTTCCTTACATGCACGAAATAACTGCAGTTGATCAGTGAAATAATATTGTCTCTACTCTCGCAGTTGTTTGTAGAAAAATACGAGGTGTGTTTTTCTTGGAGAAAGCTGCTCACAAAATGCTAGCACCAGTTGCAGCAGAAGGTTTTGATTTAAGACTGCTTTTTCCTGATTTTGGTAGAAATTAAGCAGCTTTTCTGAAAATAAGCATAATCACAAGTGTATGCAAAGGCTAGGCACATCAATTAAGCACATCAATAAAACATAAATTCATAGTAGAAACGTTAATAATCTGTTTTCAGTAGATAGGCTAAATGGGTAATATTCAACTTAAATATATAATAAATAACTCACTTTTATTTTCGCGATCAGGCCTGACTTTTATTGCCTAAGCCAAATAAATAAAAATAAAATTCGTATGAATTGCAATTAACCAAATACAAGTGAGCCAAAAACGCATCCAAAATAGTAGGAAAATTAAGTATTTGCCTTGATCCTCGTCCACTATCCAGCCCGGTAATCCTTCAAAACATCCGATATGAATTCATGTATAATATAACGTTGCAGGTTAACAAAGCCATATAGTTGAAACCACATAAATCACGGCAAACGCCAGTGTGACGATAAGACAACAAATTAATGTGATTTACGATCCAAGAGTCAAAAAGAAAAAGTTCCTCTCCTACTTCTTCCCTCCGAGACGGTTTTCATCCAAACGTGAAATCAGCTGAAAAGCAGCTCAATCTGTCGATAATATTTGAACGCACTTTCTCAAAAAATAAATAATGATATAGGCTTCATGGGGAGGTATAGCTGTGGACTACATATCCGTACGGTCGCCGGTGAGAGCGACATTAACAAGCATCACCTCCATGAGTGGAATAAATCAAATATATTTCCTTGCATTATATTAACCCGTGGTTAAAGGTTGCTTTCTGCCATGCGATTGCTTACCTGCGAATCAATTCATCATAAAACAACTTCCCTCTCAGTCTCAGTTGCTTTCCACGCAGTCTCTAGAATAAATCCTTCACCCTTTGTCTGTAGACAATGCTGTCCTAAACCTGATCTTGCTGTTTTTCAGACATTTCCATATACCAATGGAGACAGTATTCCCGAAAGATTGGAAGGACTCGCATTCAACTACCAATAAAAAGCGAACAAGGTATCCTTATTCCAGAAGAAAAAAATCCCTGGCAATCAATCACCCATTGAAATATACAGGAAATATTCAGAAACGATAGGCCTGTATACACATTTGGAGCTAACGTTAGGATTTTGGGGTGTTTCGGAAGCTTTGTGATGACAAATAAAGGCGCTGCCTTAAAATACAAGCATATTTGTTCACGTGATTGTTCTCTTCTACAACCGAGCCTTACCTCACCAATCCATTTTGATAAAGGGTGGCGTTTATTTCCTCATCTGAACTGTGTGAAAATGTTCCACTGCCTATTTCTTTTCATCTGCTGCTGAATTACAACTCGCCTGCACTTCAGTATTTAAACACAAGCATTATATCACAAGCTATTGTTAAGGTATTATAATAAAGATGTGTACATTTTCCTGCTACATCAGTGCAGTGGTTTCAGCATATGAAGAGCATTGTGTTGGCTTAGGTTATTATAAAGAAATGGTGTGCATTTTATGAGATTCAGCTGCTTTTACATTTTCACCCTTTTGCAGTTTTTTTCCCACATTTCTCCTTTAAAACAATCACAATTACACGTTTAAACCTGGCCGTAAATGCACCAGTTACGTATTTTGGATACTATTTTTAAATAGTATCATTATACTTCCTATTGATATCCTATTTAGTCGCCCAATAATTGCATCGATGTGGGAGATGCATTTTCTAAAATGATTTATGAAATACACGACATCTGTTTGTTTTTTTCTCCTTCCAGCTGGGATTGCATTGTATTCAAATAAACCACAGTATAATCTTTTGTTTGTTGTGTCTGTCCTCACACACTGCTCAAACACAAAGAGTGGGAGATCCATGTCTTCTCTTGCATTGTTTGCAATATTATCCCTATAAATAAATTAAATAAAAAGCCCGATTTGATAAGCAATAAATAAATATGTTGGTAAAAGAGCAGAAAGGACAGCAGCAGGAGGATTTGGAGCCGCAGAGCGTCGGCTGATCAGCGGTGTGTTATCTCTGCTGAGAAGAAGGACCAGAAGAACAAGAAGAGATGCAGGAACGGTAGCGTCGCAGCATATGTTCAGAGGGCAATAAAAGTGAAAGATTTACAGTTTTCGCCCGGCCCCCAACCGCCTAAAACCCTTTCAGGAATTACTGCGAATGATTTACAAGGAGGCAGACCTGTCAGCCTGCCCAAACTTCCAAGACTTCTTAGAAATCACAATCAAAACAGCCCACACTAACAATAAAAAATACTGAAGAAATACACCACAATTCTATAATAAGGACATATAAATTGTAAATAACCTATTATTTATCTTGTTGAGAACTATGACTATAAAGCAAGATGTATTATACTTAGCAATTTATGATTATAATGCTTTTTTTTTTGTATATCTATTTAATTTCTTCTTTTTTTTCACTTAATTGTTAAAAATCAGAATTAGAGTCTTTATAAAGAGTCAGTGGGCCCTGTGGAGGGGCCACACTGAGCTGATGGGTCCGAAAGAGCATTTATTCAGAGCGAGAAGCCATAAATACATGTCACTGCCCTTTAGTTTTTACCATTTCTCCTATCAATCCTTCCCCAGACAAATGCGTAAACAGCACACATCCTACCATATCTAATAAATGTGATAAAAAGAAGACATGCACACAGTGACTAACACAGTTTACACAATCCTGCTCAGCGCACACATCAAAAGGCTGCAATTTATCAAAAATCACGACATTTGATATCGTCATTTACCAGCTCGGGCAACATGAAAAATGCTGAAATATTTACCTACCCAAGCATCCATCGGTTCGGATGTGTCGCTAAAGTGCGAGGCTATATGGTGGAGCCGGGTATCGGATATTATTTTTCTTGGGGGATCTCTTCAGTTTTCAAGTCTGATAGAGTCCTTGCGATTAATGACGACGCCGTGTTTCTAGGGGGACGTGCTGCATTAATTATTTAGACAATCACGTGGTCGAGGAAAAGAGAGCGGAGTGGTATAGTCTCTGGATTATATCTCTGAATGCAGACAGCGCACTTTAATATATTTTAGGGGGGTTGTCTGGCTCGGAGAGGCTTCTGCGAAAAAACAGCTGGAAATCAAATATGGCCGGATGGAGAGCAACGACGTTGTATTCCTGCACTGGGTGCAGTGTCATTGAAAATGGCACTGCCTTTGGCTCCCATTTATTGCTGCTCAGACATGTAGGTCAGTGTGGCTATACACACTGTACGGTGTAGTACTGCTCTGACCTGATAACTGCTGGGTAGGAACAGTGTTGTGATAGGTTTAATTCATATTCATAATAACTGGAGTTCAGCAAGTCGTGATTAATTATAAATCGCTTTAAAATATAAAATAGATCAAAAGTTATCTTAAAGAACTATAATGTATAGTAGGTAGGTTGTCCAATTGTTCCTATACCACCCCCTCCCCTCCCCCACTCCTCTCACCCCCCCTCCTCTCTCTCGCTCATCCTTTCTTCAGCATCTATGTGCAGATCATTTATGGCAGGATGGTGGATCGGTGGCATCACTTTGTCTCAGCTTCTCTCTGAATCTATATGACACACGCGTGCATTTTACACAAACATATAAGTGCACGCCTGTAGGCCCTCGCGCACTCAGCGGGATCAGACAGTGGTCACTGGGGATGGAAACATGCTGAGTGACTGTAGATTGTCTTTCCACATGTCCGTTTATGGCCACTATTGTTTGTATCAGCACTGATGCTGCAGTGTGGGGGGTCGAGGGTCAGTGCAGATGTGGGTCATATATATTCAATAAAGGGATAGCTCTTAAAGCACGAGGGGGTCTAATAACAAATATATAATGGTTGATAAAGTGTGTATGACTACATGTTATAAACTGTTTCTGGTAATTGTGGCGTAATCTGATTTAGTAACAGGAGCATCGACTCGGAAAAAGTTTGTAACTGTCAGTTTGAATGTACCAGGCTGTTTGGTAATAAAGACTCATGTAACTAACAACTGTTTTGCAATAAAGACTCATGTTTTCTGAGACACCTAAACGCAGCTTTCATTGAATAAAAGCCCCTCGAAAAGCTCCACTAGAGCTGATGAGGACTCGCTCCTCTCGATAAGAGCTTATGAGCGAACAATAAGACACAACATCTCGTTCTTAAACACGTTTCTTCAAAGATATTCTACAATATGGTAGACTCATAATGTATTTTTTGCTACTTAATTTCATGTCTTACAGGAGAACAGTGTATTTGCCCATGCAGCGAACATTTGGTGCATTGTGGATGTTTTTTTAAAAGGGGGCTTCAGGTCCATATGGCTCCACACGCTTGTTCCCACTGAGAAAAAACTCGTTTCCCACCAAAAGGGATCCCTTTTTTTTAAATGGTGCAAACCGAATGACAGGAAATAATTATTTTAAATCGAATATAAAATGTCCATGAGAAATAAGATACATTTAAATACCTCAGTGGGCACGGGGAAATAGCCATTTTCTTCTCGAGTGGAGAAAATAAAAATAAAAAGATCGCAACAAAATGCTTCTGCAATCAATTAAATGCATAATCAGTAGAAATCTTTATTTTTTCGAATATACTTCTCGCATTTCAATGCACAATACAAGGTAAAAAGCATGTACAAAAATAAAACCAAAAATATTGCATATTGACATGAGGAGACAAATGCACAAATCAGAAGCTTCTGGGGGATGATATATAAATAGGCCTACTGTCAAAACACGTGTAAAAACTGTGGAATTTACGCCCTGAATATTTTAAACTCTTTTTTTAAGTTTGGAAAAAAGCCTCCAAAGCAAAGCTCGGAGCGCCTGGGAGAGCTGCTCGTCCGGCGGGTCAGAGGTGTTGGGGTCAGTCCTGCGGCTGAAATGTGGCCCCTGGATGAACCTGCCTCTGCTGCTTTTGTCGACCTGCGGTTGAAATACCTTTTCAAGCCTCTCATCGGGAAGACTTCACAGAGAAAGACCTCTTCTTACTGGGATGAGCTTCTGGGCTTTTTTTGTCCGAAAGACAATGACGGTATCAAACAAGAAATATCTGTCTTTGAAAACGTGACGTGAAAGCCCCCCTCGGTTAGCTCTGTGTAAATGAAAAACTAGAAGATTCCCACATTAACTAAAGACTACAAACTCTGCGTAAAGCCATGCTAATAATTCACAAGAGTTCAAACATATTTTAGATCAATTGAAATTTAACGAATACTTTTAATTAAAATTGTATGTGTGCTATACGAAAATGTACACGTTTTTTTAAATAAATAATGACGTAAAAAATAATATCAAGAAGAAACGAACAATTATATTCCTAAATATTCTGGATTTGATTATTTCCGATGAGAAACATCCAATATCAATTTGATGCCATGCAGGAACAAATGATCTTTTATAGTAGGACTCTCAAATGGTGCGAGAGCCTCTGAAAATGTACACTGTTTACAAAGATGTCAAGAGAGATTTATAAGGGCACTCAGAATAGTTTGCACACAGGAATGTCTTGCGTTTAGGAATAATATTTAGGCTAAGAAAAATTCAAAGTTTTATTTTACAAAATAAGTTAAAACATATAAGAGTCACAAAGAAACGTGAACTGAGATACAACGGGGTTTTTGCAACTTACGAAAGTAGGTTGTGTTTGGCGTGCTCTATGCAAATAATACCTCCTTCAAGTAGATATAGGCTATTTTTATATATTGTGCGTTTAATGTGAGGTTTGAATAGGAACAAAATAGAAATAACCTTTGTGTGTGCGTGTAATTTCAACCAAAGGCTTCCCTGTTCTGAAATAAGAGATTTCGATCTGTAAAACCAGCGTGAATCCACGTGAGAAGAGCTGGAAGACTTTGTTTAAATCCATGAAATCAGCCGAGATCCCTCATTAAATGTCCTCAGTTGGGTAACGTCCAAAAAAAAAAACGAAAGAAAGAAAAGTTTGTTTCGGTGTTTTTTGTGTCTCTTTGAGGAAATTAAAACAAGACAGAGCTTTTCAAACCTCTCACTTATAAAGACTGATTGATTTTCTGACTCTTGAGTCAACACTGCTGGGGTCTTTTTTGTTAAATAAAAAAAATGTCTAAAAACATCATCAGTCCATGCAAAAGTCAGATGCAACCTCTGTCTTTTTTATGTACAGTTTGTGTCTAAAAAGGACTTTCCTCCTTTCTTATAATGATGTGATATCAGTCTGGTTGTCCTTTTGGAGGTTTTGCAGATGGCTGGATGTTGGGGCAGATCTGCCCTTGGTGTTGGGTAGTTTGTGGTCTTTCTTCCATTTCATCCTCCTGTTTTGAAACCAAATTTTGATTTGCCTTTCGGAGAGACAAAGAGTGTGGGCAATCTCAATCCGTCGCCGCCTCGTCAGATACCTGTTAAAATGAAACTCCTTTTCTAGCTCCAAAACCTGCTGCCGGGTGTAAGCTGTCCTGGACCGTTTGGTATCGGGTCCTGTGTAATCCGGGTTCACTAGAAGAAATAAAAACAAACAAGAAAACAAGTCACCAAATGTGGCCAATGCAGCATGCTGGAATAAACAATACAACAGGAGGAGTTCCTCTCTACCAGAGGCGCTCAAACTTTAGGAACATTAACGAGGAATCGAGAGCAGGAAATAAAGAGTGATTTTTAACTGAATTTAAACAGATTAGCTGCCGGTTTTAGCACCATTTACAGCCGGTCAATACGTGTTTTCAGTAGCTTTCAGGCGCTCACCTAGCGGCCTATTTCCTGAGCTATAAAAATTTATGACTTGTGTAATTGGCGAGGCCTTTCAAAGACTCCCATAAATATTACACTGAGTGATTTCTGAAGTACAGGTCTCAGTTGGTCCATACGAGAAGAAGGAGAAGAAGAAGGAGAAGAAGAAGAAGTCTTACCAGTATTTACGTGGACTTTCTTCATCCAGGGGTAAACTACTGCAGGCAGCTTGGACTGTATCCCATTTTGGCTCTTTGTGTTTTGCTCCTGTCCAACTGTCCGGGGTCCGGACACTTGCACCGGGGCCCCCTCCTCAGTCTGTGCGCTAAAAGTGCTGGGTCTGCTGGGTCTGTCCTGACCCCGTGGCAGCACAGTGGAGTCCTGCACAGTGGAGTCCTGCCCAGTGCTGCAGAAGGGCTGCTCCGGGTAGTTTGGCCGTGGGTAGATCCCTGGATGCTGAAAGTCTGTGTCCTGCGCTGGACTGTAGAAGTCCGAGCCCTGCTCAGGTATATAGTTATTTTGTGAATATTCCTCGCAGGGAGGAAATTGGGGATCCACATACTTAGAGTTCACCATAAACGAACTCATGGCCATTAATTTCTGAAGGTAGAAAATACTAATTTTTCTCGAGTTGTCTTTTTTTCCTCCCTCCATAAAGCCCTCCTACTTGGTGTCAACTGAATAAAGTTAGCGAACCATGTGACCAGATCGGCCAATAGAGGTGATGCTGGTTCACGAACGGGTAAACATACAACTAAAAGCAATTGTATCTGACAACAAAATGATACCCAGGTGGAGGAAAATATATATATATTACACTGAAATATCTGCTTGCACATTTGGATAATAAAATACGTGCTTGAAAAAAAAAAAAGAGAGAAACATAATTCCAACGTTACATCAATTTATATCTTTATAATGATATATTATAAAGATATTGGACCCATGCATGAGGTGGTTTTATCAAAGTAGATGTAAAAATATATCAGTTTGTAAAGTGTAACTTGAAGGCATGGTGTTCAACAGAGAAACCAACAAAAGATACAAAAAGCCCCTCGGCATGAAAGCAGCGAATAATGACTGAGGACAATTGATGGACACTGTCTTTGTCAAGAAGGGGTCATCCAAAAGTTACACGAATCTCATCACTTCATCTGCTCCCATCCCTTTGAAAAAAACTCAGGAGCCTATTGGCCAGCAGCAGCAGCCTCTGGGAATCAATAATGTAGACACAGACCCTCAGGAGGAAGAAGCTGCAGCTGGAGTGTGCTGAGGCTTTCTTTAAGAACATCCATTTGGTGTTTTATTACAACACACTGAGCTATATAGAAATAATTACTAATTACATTTGTTTTCAGGTGAAACATTACGCGTCAGATTTCCTTGAAGCCTATAGAGTTTCACTTTGAGCCCCCGAGAGCTTCTTGTGAAGTATATCTGGTGTTGTCAGATGTACTCATTCATAAACCTATGACGGCAGGTCAGGCACCAAACGCTTGATAATAAGATGGCAACAAGTCATTGGATCGAAGTTTTTTCATCGACCATATACTCCCCTAGAATCGAATCTGTGATTGTGGTTTTATCACACAAATTCGGTTCTACAGGGTATATATAGACGACGGCAAGCAAGTGGCACTGCACACCTTTAGAGCACTTTAGCCTGTAAAGTACAATGTGGCTCAAAGAAACTATAATATCTTAAATAGGCGTCCATTGGGTAAAAGGACAATATGAATAAGTCATATTTTTGCTTATAGTAATTTTAGAGTGTCTTATTCGTCTTAATATGTAAACAAATGTCTCAGTTTGAAGCATCATTTCTTCTCTGTTTGATTTCCTTTGCTTTGAATATATGTATCTAGAAAGTAGCTCAGTCAAAAGCCATGTCAGTGGTTGCCTCTTAAAAAAAAGAAAATGTAACTGAAAAAGATGTAGGACTACAGGCTACTTTTACCAATAAATAGTCAATTTAAGGCAGCAAATGACAGACACTGAACTAAAAAAGATCTGGCAGTATCTCAGGTCAAACCAGGTTTCCTGCAGTGGGTATTTTCCCCTCTATTATAGTCCAAGTTCATTATCAGAAGAAAAAAAAAGATTCTTCAAATTATAAAAATATCTTTACACTTTAATGAGCTGTAACCTTTCAAAACCTCATACTGGTGAAATAATGCACTAAAGCTGTAAACTCATCACCAGATAAGCGTTGGATGCTCACTGCCTTATATAGGGCAGCTTATCATCACTGCTCCAAAAGATGAAGCTAGAGGCCACGGAGGTCAAACTAAATCATTTACAAAGTTATCAAAAAGTTCAATTATTTCTGTCCTGGTGACAGCTCAAAGGGTGCAAAAGTTTACCAATTCCCCGCCAGCCATTAACCAAACCGCCATGGCGGCTGCTGCTTCAGAGACATCCTTACAAAGGAATTGAAGCTGGGAATAGAGAAGAGAGGCTTGTTACTTTAACAAAATCACCAAAATCAAGTAAATATTATTGTCCAAACATAGAAATGTAATATTATATTATAATACTATAATGAGCCTATATCTAGGTGAGAGTTTTTTTTCAACAAAAACAGTCCAACATTTGTATGGCACCAGTATTACGCGTTGAGTTGGTCCGATTTAAAACAAAAACAAAAATATTGTTAAACATGCGTTTGGAAGCAAATTTGGCCAAATGCTTCTCTGGGTTAATGTGTCAGATCTGAAAAAGCTTGTAATAAAGATTGAGCCAGATATTTAGCCGTATGTTTTACCTTTAGTAAGACGATGTAAGATTGTAATTTAGCCTACTGTTCACGGATGATACTTTAGGTTTAGTTTTATGCTACGTTTTTGGCTAAAGTTAAAATGTCAGTTTTAGTTTTGTCTACAAGTTGAACTATGCAGGCCTTCTAAATGTAAGAATACAATAGAATCAGCTTAATGAATTATCGAGTTGACGTTTATGTCTATATGGTTTACATGTTTCCTATTATTAAAATATATAATAGAAGCTTTAATGTTTTCTTTCCACATGTACATTTAAATGTCAACAAGAACATTAAATATTCGTTTCTACCAAGGGATAAATCATCAAATATGAATAAAATTCGTTCCTGCACTTCACATTTCAATACGAGTGAGACAGCCTGACCTGTCTTTCACCTTCCCCTGCTAGCCTTTCAGACGGGTCAAAGCCGAGGAGCACAACAAAAGAAAGATAAAGTCAGCTATTCCCGGCAGCTTGTGTTAAAAGCAGGGATAACTACTTCAGCTCGTGTCATTTTATCAGTACAATTACAAGCTTTTATATAAAAAACTCCAAATTGTGAGTTTAGGAGCCACAGAAAAAAGACGAGGCCTATTTGATCTTATTTACGGGCAATGTAAGGGAGCGTTTTGTACTGATAATAATAGAAAAATAAAGCTTAAATTCACTGTTAACTTTGTATTTTGTATTATTTAACAATTTGTACAAAGTATGTAGCAATTGATCGAGATATAACGGCCTTATGAATAAATACATTAGGCCTATAGTGAATAAAGCAGCAGCCACATAATGTGCAAACGAGAATACAGATTGGGTAAACGCAATGCTGTTTTAGTTAATACATTTTAGTGGTTAAAGCTAATAATACTAGAACGAATTGTGAATTATTAACTATACAAAAAAGGCACATTCACGTGTATCATTGAATTATGCCTTTAACACATTACACGCGTAATTCTTCAGGGATTTACAAAAACTCTGCAGACAACAGGTTGATTTATCCGCCTCCAAGCGAATAAGAACACCCAATGCTAACAAGCAACTACATAATGTAGCAGAGAATCAGACCAACAACACTAGGAACACCATCAGAAAAAGCATCGATTGATTCTTAAGAGGTTTAAACCCAAAACCCAGTTCAGTAATAGGATTAAACACGATTTCCTGCAGCCTCATCCAACTATCTCTGCTCGTCTTCAGCGCGCACTGTTGCGGCTTTTAGAGGCAGGAAACTGTGCAGCCCGAGCACTGTGCGTGTGACATCACTGCACGCCCATACCACGAGCATAATGATAAAACACAGCTTACCACAGAGACCGCCACCCAAGCCACACCGAGGAGCAAACGCATCCATGCTGGAGGAAAAGTCAGCTCATGGCACAAGCTCCCTGCCAATTCCAGCTATTCCAACCCATCTGGACGCTCTTAATACACAATGAGAATTATATTTTGGCTTGTCAAGTCCCGGGCCATAAAACAAACTTTAATGGCATCACGTGTTTCCTCACAGCCACTCACAACACCGCGCAGGCTCATAAATAATCCTCAAAGTTGCACTTACTCAATAACGGCGATTACACTGATGTGCACTGAGGAAAAGTCGTAGAAAGGGAGGAAGCTGGAAGGATAACTGATAGACATGGGAACAGAGGAGCAGTGGGATAAAAACATTAAAAAGCTAAACTCTTTTTAAATAAATTGGCTTTGTTGTTATTTAAAGGCATATTAGTTACTTAAGCAATGATTGAAAAGTAAGCAAAGTCTTATAACTGGGCCTCTGACCATTGATATAATAATCTTATGGTGATCCCCAGTTATTTTATTCAATAAAGTATACCTCTCCTTATTGGACAGAACTGATTACACCATTTGTCTGAAGCCTCTTGACCTCCAAAGTGTTGACAAAACAGCAAACATGCATCAATGATTTGTCCTCAAATACATTTTTCTCCCCAGTGAACCTGACACAATAAGACTGATGTCATTCCTTCTTCCGGACCAATCCCAGAGTGCAGAGCAGCTTCGCTCCTCCTCCTCCTCCCTTTCCTGTCAAACAGCAGAGGAGCTGATGATGCTGAGGTTTGGATGGCTGCCACTGTGGGCAGGTATGATAAATGGAGGGGCATCAAATCAGAGGCCTGTCACTTTTTACATGCATGTCCTCATAAAAAGTTATTTCCCTGGAGATAATTTGAGCGTAAAACCTCAGTATGACCGCCTGGGTGTTTTAGTGGAGGCTGCACTCACATGTTTCCTGTTGTTAGTTGGTTCGGTGTTTCCTGTGGTTTAATGACTTGCATGCAGTGTAATGCTATGAATTAAGTCCTTTGTTATCAGCTTTCTTGAAGATAATTTCCTTCAACATCTTCATCATCATGAGGAAGATGTAATGCACAACTCACTATGATCTGTGGGAAGGTTGCTGTCCATAAAGTTGTCTCTGGCTATAAAAGCATCCACTGTACTCTCTAATAAATGAATATACAACTGTTTGCCTTTTTCTGCAATGCACCCTTTGGATTTGTAGAGCTCTGATGATGAAAAAAACAAACAACACAAACCAATTCAGCATCAGAACAGCTCATCTCATATATGTAAACAAACATATATTTCCATGGCTAAAAATAGTGACTATGTTAACACAAACCACTTTCAAAAGTGAACCACATCACATGACCACGTCTCTCAGCCAATCAGCGTGCTCATGCTCCTGCTAGTAAAGGACTGCTGAAGGGTGCAGGGAGGCTGACCGTTGGGCAACAGCGCCTTCTGCTGGCATTTTAACGACCTCCCTCCTTTTCCACTGCAAAAAATGTCCATCTCTGCTAACAAATAATTTCACTTCATAATTTGTTTGATAAGGATAGAACGATAGAGTTGAGCAATAGGAAATGTCACTTCAAATGCAAATGAATGTGTTCACTGTTCAAACATCATTTTAATTAGGTGAAGGTCTCTTTAAGTATGTGGGCTGATGAAACCTGATTTAATAATTAATTATCATAGTTATCTAAAAGAAAATTGCATTTGAAGTTTGAAAGATTATCCCATCCTTTTGCAAAAT